TATATATATATATATATATATATATATTGAAAATTAAATTATATTTAATGATTTTAAATCCTCCTTTTGACTTTTTAAAGTTAAGAATATATAAATATAGACTTATGATTCTTCTGATGGTCCCCACAGTCAGGGCCGGATTAACATAAGGGCTAGGTGGGGCTGAAGCCCCAGGGCCCGCGGATTGAGGGGGCCCGACGTGATTGGCTGTGGAGGAATGGAAAAGTAGACCTAGAATTGATTGGCCATAGGGAGCACCCAAGCTTTCAGTGTGCCGATTGCTGAAACCCCACCACGCACCCACATATTAAGCACTGTTATTAAAGCCAAAGGATACACAGTTATGAGCAAATCAGACCAAACACACACACATATAAAACTTTCTCTTTTTTTCTTCAGGATGTGCAACAACAGTCTTAGTGACAACTGCTGGAATGGGTGAGATGACGTTGCAGGTGTTGGTTGGATCAGTAAGTACTTAGGCTCCCGTTTTAACATTTGGGAAAGATTTTCTAAGGAAGTAAATAACCCTGAGCAAATTTCTTCTAGCTAATTCAGAAAAAAGGGACTTACAGTTTTTTGGTGTGTGGTTTGGTCATCGGATGCCTCAGTTTCGTCTTCTTTCTCAGTGTGGTCCTGTGCAACCGCATCCACAGAAATCTCACAGGTAAAAACAACAAACTTACATGGTTATAATTTACTAACTTAACTGGTGATATTAATACTTTTTGAGTAAATTGGACAACAGTATATGACTCTGTCTCGATGTGTTCACCATCCAGGAGCATCTAAAAAAGCAGCCATGGTGGAAGCGCCACCAGCACCTGCTCCACCTGCTTCAGAGAAAACCGAACCAGAACAGAAAGTTGCTGTAATACAAACTGAATCAATTAAATGTGACTCTGGAAATACTTAATACAAAAGTAATCAGTCAATCTGCTTTCATTATCATATTTGTGTAAACAAACAACAAAAACTCTAGATAGTGATGGAATATGTTTTTTATGTATTTCTGCTAAGTTTGGTATTGGTATATATGTATTTTTTGTTTGTTTGATGTTCAGTTTCTCGCAGATAATACTGACTGTTAAATTATGAATACTATTGGAAGAGAAGACTCTAACAAATGTGAGAAATGTTTCATTACAGGTGGGGAATTAAGTAATTTATGGCATAAAATGTATAAAGTTTTGTACTTTACCCAAGACTGAAAATCATTAACACCAAATTAAATACCATATTAAACTCTCAATTAATTATTCACCAACCTGAAGAAATTCCTAGAACTTTCCTAGTCATTCAAAACATTTTTTATCTTGGTTAATCTGGTCTTGGGCTGGAAGGTTCATGAAGTACTGTATTCACATGAAATCAATAAACTCATGATGACTAATGCAAACAGTCATTTGCAATAAATTATTGTTCACCATGTCATCGCCCTGCTGTGCAAGTTTCATGTGTTCTGCCAAAATAAATACAGCATGTGCTCCCAGACAAATTATGATTGAGGTCAGATGCTGAACAATTCACTCTCATGTTGATCCAAACTTGTTTATTCTTTACAAGCCAAAGCTTTTTTTTGTCCATACAATGAAGGCCACTGAGGTCTAATGTTGTGTTGTTGTTGCAGTTAAAACATTCAAAATAAACTTTAAAATACCTTTTGTGTACTGCAGAAATACAGAGCCCCACTCATGACATGTGAACAAAAATATATTTATCATCACGATCAGAAATGAATAATTATTGTTTCAGTTAAACTGTGGCCATGAAATAAGAATTTGTTCCCCCGACTTAAACTGTTATCTCATTTTAGTAAATCGTGGTGACGTTGTGCTCATTTCTCCCCTCGTTCTGATTTAGTAGTGTAATAAAGCATGAAGTACAGCTCACACAGAAGTCACTTTCAAACCAAGCAGCTTTTCAGCTTTCAGAATCTGCATGACCAACTTTAATCCATTGCAAAATCTGCATTTGGAAATCTTGAGCTCTCATGTAAAATTACAGATCATATGAACTCCTATTGAAATGACTGGGTTTTGTCCACGGAAATTTACCGAACAATGGTAAATATGACAACCCTTAAGTATTAGATGAGAAAAATATCCATATTCAAAACGTAATAATCACTTTAATCTAGCTTGCGCCAGCAGTTGTACACAGAAGCAGTTCCGGGAGCAATCAAAGACAATTTTTAATATAACTCCGACTGGATTCGTCTGAAAGAAGAAAGTCATATACTCCTAGGATGCATCGGGGGTGAGTAAAACGCAGCCTAATTTTCATTTTGGGGTGAACTAACCCTTTAAGGACTGTACGAACATAAAACAGCCGCACATCAGAGATCAGTCTTCTCTGGTCTTCTTCAAACATGTAAGAACTCCTGTAAGAAATGTGCTTCAATTACATTCATCCAGCACTTGAAGAAAACCTCTGGCTGAGAGTCTTTAATCAGAAAGATGCTAAGTAAAACATTATGAAGTCATTTCCATTACAACTAACAGAAGTTTATGCTGTAAAAAAAAAGTGAAGGACAGGTCATCAACTACTAGATTTCTTTAAAGATACATTTTATTTTTTCCGTGTAAAACAAATTTTACAAAAATCAGAACAGCGTAAATAAAACAAACATTTATTTTGGATAAATTATGATATAGACGGAAAGGCTACAGATTAGGATGGAGATACAAGCAATAAAAATAGTCATATGCAGCTGAGAAAGCTATGGATGGTGTGCACTGAATTCAGCTCGTTTTTACCATTCTAATGGCTCAACGGACCGCTCATTTAAAAAGGCATCTATAAGCGTCAAATATTCTTAAAAAATGCACACATGAAGCATCACGGAGGTCAATATTAAGGTTTTCACTAGCTCACTTCTGACATCTCATCCTCATCCTGAAGGTTTACATCCAAGCCTGAGACTCCGCCCACCGACGTACTTCGCACCACGTACATGAAAGCATGCCAACCATGAAAGAGGTTCAATACAACCATAGAAAAAGTCATCTTAGTTCGGAAAAAAGCTGATTTACTAGACTGAATCAAGAAATAACTGCACGGAAAGTGGGAGAAAGTAGCATACTACAGCTATGTAAAGTACAGTCGATGTAGCAAGGAAATCACGTGACTGAACTGCAGCCACAACAATCCAGTGCAGTTCATGACGACAAGCGTATATGCTCATTATAAGCCCGTGGTTTCACCGGTCAACGCAGCTGGGATGAGATCATGTACATTAAAAGTCACAAAAAATGGTTTGTTTGGGAATAAACAAGCAGTTTTGTTCTTTTCAAATACATTTGGAAAAATGTTTAAGATGCCCGTAAAGTAAACTACAGAGCCTACAGTATAATCTGTATTTTTCTGGGGCAAATCATCTTCGTGAAGGTCAACTGTAGCAAAACGGTTTCGGCAAAAATGTCGCAAAGCCATAATTGAAACATTTGATAAATATTAATATGAAAGACCGCAGTTGGGGACTAGGCCAAACCGTACAGATTTAGGATAGGTCTGATACTTTACAGATTTCGTTTTGAGATATGGTATTTACAAGCTGAGAGACATAAACATCCAAAACACCCTTCCGAGTATTGTGGGAAATCAATTCAACTGTTCCTCATTAAGAAAAACGGATAACAGACATGTTCACCAGGAGGTGAAAGAGCTCAGTCTTCACCTGATGGAGCTTCCTCCTCAGAAACATCGTCCTTTTCCTCTTTCTCATTCTCCTTCTCCTCCTCCTTTTCTCCGTTGTCATTGTTTTCCTCTCCTTCGGCGCCGCTTTCGTCATCCTGCGTCTTCTTGGGGGCGGACGACTCCTTTCTGTCTTCCTCTTGCGCCTCTTCCTCCTCCTCCTTGTTGCTCTCGATATCTTCATCTTCGGCTTTTGGTGAGGCCTTCTTCACAACTCTCTTCACCTTCGTCTGACGTTTTCCTCTCCTCTTCTTGGGCCCTCGGGTCACTGGAACAAGATAATTGACGTCATTACTGTAACTGTGACCATTGAAGGCGTCTGGAGGAAGTTCTTCATTAATTAAAGCAGGAAGTGATTAATTATGAAGGTATTACAATTGACCTTTCTGATGGTAGGATTATGGGTGGCTTTACCTGAAGCCCTTATCTTGGGTTTAGGGGATTTCTTGTCTTTGCTTCTCCTGCTCACTTTGGAGTTCTTCCGTTTGGGTCGGCCATAATCGCTGTCATCATCGTCATCCTCAGCCATGAAGTCTTCATCACTGCCTGAATCTTCAATGAGGAGAAGAGGGAAGTATAAATAAAATCAACAAGTATCTAACTGTTGGCTAAAATGTGAATGTCAATGTTATTGAAAGATTTTGTCTCTAACATAATACTCCTCATACCCCCAGTGTAAACGTCACTGTCATCTTCCTCCTCCTCTTCCTCTGCCTCCTCATCCTCACTTCCTCCATCCCCAAGAAGAATCTCCCTCTGTTTGGATGCAGCTTTAGTGGCAGCCTGACGCACCTGCCGGCCCTTCTTCCTCACAACCTTACCATCATCATCACTGTCATCTGTGCATCAAAAGAGCAGATGCATGGTTAATTAACACAAGCTGAAAGTTTGTTAACTATGCATTTGTATGCAAAATGCATAAACAAATCACAAACACAGGCATGAAAATGTTACTGAGGTTTAGTGTGGTTAAGTGAATAAAAGCAAATTAATTAAATTGGCAACATTACAGCTGAGTGCAGACTGACATTGTAAAAAGGAATAAAAGAACAAAATTGAATTTTAACAGCATAAAGAGCAAATGAAGAAAAGCATGAAATTTAAACTATTATTTACAATACATATTACATAGAGATTAACAGATGATGAGGTGGGATGTTTATATTTAACATTATACACTACTAGTCAAACAAATCTATATTTCCCTTATTTATGATGTTTACATTTGTACTGATTACTATTTGAATAATTAACTGAGAAAAAACTTTAAGCAATATTTACTTAATTGCCTTACTTAACTGATATAAAATATGAAAAAAAAAAACTCTTATATCAACTTGTCGCCAAAGCAACATTTCTTATTTTCATTTAGTTTAACTTGATGTGCTAAAATAATTAAAACTAAAGCGGAGTAGACACACACATATATATATATATATATAGTATATACTATATACTATAGACATATTAAAAACTAATAAAAATGACAAAAACACTACACAATTACTACAACTTTAACTCAAATTTAAACGAAAACAGAAAACACAAACAAAAACTAATTCAAACTATATATTTTTTTTAATACAAAAGTATCTCAATTATTCTAAAATAACACAGACTTGAAGAATACAAGCCATTATTTTCATTTAACTTATATTTTATATAATATATTTATAATTTAATATTAAGCTAAAATATAAGAACATTATAAGGCCAAATGCACAGACAGTAGCTTAAACCATCCATGATGTCAGAAATGACTGAATGACTTCATGTAATGAATGAAGCAGTCCTTCAGTGTTTATATTGGTAATACCGGCAGGCCTTTTCCGTTTAGCTGTTGCCTGTCTCCCCCTGCTGGCCTCTTTAGCATCAAAATCACTGTCACCACCATCATCCTCCTCTTCCTCATCCTCCCCATAGTCATTGTCATCACCACTGAAATCCTCTGGAATATGAGAGAATGTGTCAGAATATTCAATAACTGAATAAAATAGTATTTTTAAATAAAACATTTAAATATCAAATCCTGATATAAAATAATAGTAAAAATTTATAATAATTAAGTAAAATAAAAATTTACTTACTCTTGTGGTCCTTGATTCGAGAATCATCACTACATAAGAAGAGATACAGCACTTATTTTTAAGGGTATATAAAATAATTCAGACAAAATACAGACACCATGAATTTAAATAAAATAAAACAGTGTAATGAATA